AGAAGTTTAAGAGAAGTTTAGATAGATTTGATGAAAATTTAAAGAATTACACTAGATCATAAATTTAGTCAAAAAGTATCATATTTTTTTAAAAAATAATGACTCTACATTCATATAAAAATTAAAAAAATGATGCCAAACATATTATTATCATATCATGTTAGTAGTTTAGAGAAGTTTGAATTGATTTGATAAAAATAAAACGGGTTACATTTGATCATTGATTCAACTCAAAAAATTCTCTCTAAAAATTTATTCACTCTAAAATCACAAGAAATTTAAAAAATAATATTAAATATTTTAAAATTATATATACCAATTCTAGAAAAAATAAATTAATTAATTAATTTGATGAAAAAATTTTGATTACACTCGAGTCACCGTTCATAGATTTAATAAAATTCAATCCGATTCGAAACAATCAATATAAATTATTCTGACCAAATCGAATTGACATATATGACAAATATAAGAGTGTTCTAGCAAAACTCCATAAGGTTTTTTTATTAAGTAAAATGACCCAAATATCAAATGGGTTGGGAAAAATGAGATGCCACAGCCAATCGCATTTGGGAAAAATGACCCAAATATCCGACGGCGACGCCCCTGGATGTTCCCCTACGCACGCTGCAAGTAATCCTGCTCCACCACGTGCCGCTCCTCGTCTCCTCGGGCTCCACCTTTGACGGCCCACTAACATCCGCGGGATACGGATGCTAAAACTTGCTCCGCGATCGCAGCCGAACCTCCATCGCACGGTCCCCGTGTCATGATGATCCGCCACGCGTCTTCCCCGAAATATCTTTCACTGTTGACACGTTTCGTTTCGTGGTCGACCGATCCCGGGCCGAATCGGATGCACGGAAGAAGAATCCGAACGGGTGGCCCTTCTCGAAACACGTAATCCGGGCCCCGCGAGGCTCGGGTAGCGGCAACCGAGGGAATACGTTGACGTGGCTGGCCCGCCAGTAAGATGGGGGGAAACGGAAGATATTTTCTCGCGTGGCAGATTTGGTTGTGGCGGAGGAGCGGATTGCTGCGGCATCGCTTACCGCACGCACTAGAGAATGAGATGAGTGGTAAATAGGTCCTTCGGTTCCTCTTTTCCATCTGGTCCTTCGTTGAAGAAGAGGAAAATGGGGGCGAGAGAGGAGAGGGAAGGGAGAAGGGAAGAAGAGGAGGGGGCTGAAAGATTCTTGCCGAAGATGCCGGTGAGAGTGCTGCTCGTGGAAGGAGACGATTCCACCAGGCGGATCATCGCGGCCCTCCTTAGGAAATGTGGCTACAGAGGTTCGTTTCCTCTTTCATATGTAATTGGGATCCCTTTTTTCGCTTCTTCCACTGATCCTTTGATGCTTTGACGTGATCCCCATCATTAGTATGTCTGTTCTTACCAATTTAAGTGAAAAGATGGGGGAGTTTATGTTTATTTATTTATTTATTTATTTATTCTTGTGGTTGAGTCCAAAGTGTTTATTTTTCTCTCAATTGGCCTTTGGAATTTGGAAGTATATTAGGTTCAATTTTTTGCAATTCGTTATGGTCTTAGAAACTTCATTTGGAATGATACTTTTCTGAAATGGGTGGAATTGAGAAACCATTTGCTGACGGAAATGTTTCATTTACTTTTGTGGTGGTTCACTGGTGACGATAATTATATATGCTCAATTTTTTGTTCTTTTTTCAAGCTTAAGTAAAATTGAATTGCTTATAGAGTTGATTTGTTGAACTCAACTGCAGAATTTCCACTTATGTGGTTGTATTGACATTGATCAGATGCAATAAAGACTTCTTAGAGGGGGAAAAGTTGATGTTTGTTCCGATGGGACTCTCTGGGGAATTTTACATATCGAGACTCTGTTTGGATATGATTACTTGATGAATTTGTAGACTCTTGCTTTGCATTAATCCTTGAATTTTGTATTGCAGTTAGAGAGGGTTATTAAAGTAAGTTCAATGAAACCAAAAGTTTCATTGAAGAGGCACTGATATTTGGAAAAATATCAGTTTGAAGTAGAAAGCTGAGTCATATTGGTTCATTTTATCTTCGGTTGCTAGATATCATGTGCTTAGTATATGTGAAAAAATGAGATTAGGTTTTCTAGAGTAATTAGGACCATGCCAATATAGGAGTTCTATCGGATGTGTCACATTAAAGCATATAAATGCCTTGCAAATGTTTATTTTACAGATCCTTACATGACGTGGGTTCTTGGTTCTGCATTGTACATATATTTCAGCTGTATGCTTAATCTTTCAGATTAACTAACTAATGTTTACTGCTTGCTTTAGTATTTTATGATGCAATAAGCCAGTAATCATATTTTTAAGGTCCTTCATTTTGTAGTTCCATTGGTAAAGTGTATTATGCTTTTCATTTTCAAGGTATATTAACATTTGAACGATTCACATTTTCTTAGAATTTCTTTGTTTGGAATTCACCAGTTGCTGCAACGTCAGATGGCTTAAAGGCATGGAACACATTGAAGCAAAAACCCCAGACTATAGACCTTGTTTTGTCTGAAGTTGACTTGCCATCAATCTCTGGGTTTGGCCTTCTCACCATGATGATGGATCACAACACCTTCAAGAGCATTCCTGTCATAAGTATGATGCAATTGATTTTTGACTTCCTACTTCTATTGTTCTTCAGAAGTTTTTCTTAGCAGTAATTTTTTTTGTCACAAATAAACACTTTCCTTTGATTCATCCAGTGATGTCTTCACATGATTCTACCAGCATG